AGCTTCTGCTCAAATATAACCTCTTCAAAGAGGCCTTCCCAAGCACTTGTGTAAATTAGCTATATCCTTTATGGAGAAAATAAAAATTAAAAATCAAGGCACCGGCTGTCACAAATCTGAGAAATGAGTTTACAGTGTGAAGATGGGCAATACTTTGAGTGAGCAAGACAATACCGTTCATAACTGGAAGATGTCCCCTTCCATAACAGCCCGAGTTTTAAAACTCCAAGAGGACAGATTCTGATGTTTTCATTTCCATAAAATGCTCCAACAAGGCAACCCTATTTATTGCTATTTTCCAGAATAGCCAGCAGAGTGTGGAAGTTGTGTTAATTGGTCAGAATAAAGTAATAACTCAAATCAAAATTTTGGGTGAGACTATGACTCAACAAGAATTCACTTAGAGTTTTCTGCTTCCAGGAATGCTGAACAGGCTCCTGCCAGACCCAATCCTCCTACAGATGGTAGTTACAAACTCTGGAAAAAAATATTAAAAAAAAAAAAAAAAGTACCTGATGATACTAGCCAGTGAACAGTGGTGACAAATTATAGAGGGGAGCTGAAATATAGGAAGGAATTACCAACATGGGAATAACACTATTGCTTTTAGCCTGAGAGTAGGCCAGAGTGGTCACCATACAGAACAGCTTAAACTCACATATCTTTCTAGTTTGAAGAATCAGAGAGCAAAGTTTGGGGCAACCACAGCTCCTGGAAAGAAAGTAGGTTCCAGAAAGGAGTAAGCCAAACAGGAGGAGCTCCAACTGGGTATAAATTACCCAGTCTCTGGCCCACACCAAAACTATGCATGCTTGGTGTTATTTGTAAGCAGGCCAGCTAAAGTCTAAATTAATTGCCTACTAAAACTAAAATAGCAACACTTTCAGAGAAACAAAACAAAATCCAAAGTCTCCACAAGATAACATTCACAATATATAGTTGTTTGATGTATAAAGAACCAGAAAAGCGTGACTTAGTCCTCAAAAAAAAAAACAAAAAAAAAAAAAAACAGAAGCAATTAAAACAAATCCCTAAATAACTACATGTTTGAATTAGTTGTTATAGTAGACAAAGATATTAAAATAGTTATCATTATTTATACTCAATGAAGTATACTCAGAATGGAAAAAAGAGAGGAACTTTCTCAGCAGAAAAACAGAAACTATTATTTTAAAATCAGGGAAATATGGGACTATAAAATATAGTATTTGAAATTTAAATCTGACTGGACTATCTTATCTGACTAGATTAACAGTGGACACAAAAATCTGTGCCCTTGATGAGGGGTTAATAGATATTATCAAAACTAAAAAAGAGGAAAAAAAATATTTTAAAGAAATGAACAGAACCACTGAGAATTGTGGAACAATATCAAAATGTCTAATATATATATATATATATATATATATATATATATATATATATATATATATATATATATAAAATGAAGCCCCCAAAGGAGAAAAGGAAAAAAATGGGGCAGGAAAAAATATCTAAATAAATAATAAAATTTCACCAAAATATGATGAGAAACATAAATGGACAAATTCAAGCTTAGTTAACCCCAATCAGAATAAAAAAATCAAAGAAAACTATGCTAAGGTGCATCACCCTCATACTGTTAAAAAGCAAATACAAGGGGAAAAAATCTTGAAAGCAACCAGAGAAAAACAACACATTATATAGAAAAACAAAAATCTGAAACACTATTTATATAACATCAGAAACAATGGTGGCCTAGACACAGTGGAACATCTTAAAACACACACACACACACACACACACACACACACACACACACACACACACACACACAAAGGTGCATCAAAGTGGTGATCCCCAGATATTAAGGGTTTTTTGTTTTTCAAGACTTGCCTTCAAAACCTTGGCACAATACTACTTCCCATTTGATTTCCATCAAGTATTCTCTGTCATTACTCTCCAGGAGCTAAGGAATCTGATTCAACTGTTTATAAAATAAGCAAGAGACAGAGAAAGAGCAGTCACCCTCCATTACCACCTCTGTTCAGAAGCCCCACACCGTTCACATGAAACATCTACTTTAACTGGTGACACTACCCCATCTCTCTGGGTGGATTCCTGTCACCTTGCCCAGGCCTTATCCCATTTGAACTGAAATTCTCTTTGTAAACCATTTGGGGCAGGAGGGACCAGGAATGGTGTCAATGAATAACACGTTTACTCCAATCCAGAGTTGACTTAGTTCCCCCTTTGTTATGTAAATAATAGGAGAGAAGGAAGAATTTTACTATATAAATCCCAGTAGGTACCCCTAAGGCAATCTCCCTCTACTCAAACACGTAGAGCTCAATAAATTTTTTGCCAACAAAACTCTATCAAGCATTTGTCCCAAGTGCTTAGATGGGAATCTGAGCATAAGAGAAGCACAAATTGTTCAGCATTTTCTGAAATGGCATGTGGGTTCCTGGGTTGATTCATTCAGCCAATATGCTCATTTCAAATCATTTTCCCTGAAAGACTGAAATATGAGAGACTGCCTGGGAACCACTTGCTACTAATTTTTTTTAAAAAGACCTGCTAACTATAATGCAATGGATGGGGCACATCTGCATCTTAGGTGGAAAAACCACTCTGATGCCTCATAATAGCACCTTTTTCCACAGGAGAGAGTGCTGCAAGTATCTCTTAACCCTGATACCTGGGTAGTGTTGCCTCTATTCCCAGGAGGTCAGCAAATCAAGCGCTGCCCCCAAACCCTGCTCTCTTTAATACAAAACATAGTCAAAATGTTTAGAGAATAGAGTGAAAATTCTCTAGTTTGAAACTGTTTTCTCTTTTGAGAAAGTTTCTGGCATTTTCCCAGTAGGCATTGTATTATTGCAATAAGCTGCCCAGTAATCATAGGGGACTACTTATTTCCTACCAGTGTTAAAAGAAAGGATTAGTCCTGACAAATCTCATTGTTAATGGGGTGGCATCAGCTTCTCTACATCCCTATCGAATTCAAAGAAAACGCAGGAAAAATGGAAAACAAAGGCTGCTTTATTGTCCTGTTTGAGCAGCATCTATCTCTTACAGAACAATTTTTATTTAATTTCAATGACATTCAAAAAGTTGTAACTAAAAAAGAAAAAAGTGAATGGGTGGAAGTCTATAAAGAAATCTCTCCATTTATAACACTTTTCTTGATATACAAGATAAATTCTGGGATCAAAAATTTTTATTTTTTTGTTATTTTTTTAGAGGGTAGGAGAGGGAGAGGGAGAGACAGAAACACTGATGTGAGAGAGACACGTCGATTGGTTGCCTTCTGCATGTGCTCTGACCAGGGCCCAGGCTGGGGAGGAGCCTGCAACTGAAGTACGTGCCCTTGATTGGAATCGAACCCTGGACCCTTCAGTCCACAGACTGACACTGTATCCATTGAGCCAAACTGGCTAAGAAGAGATCAAAATTTTTTAGAACCTTATGCATTCTTGAATAGTCTCGAGAAACTATTAGCAGCAGAAGTAAGCAAGTAGCAGCAGTAGTACTAGAAGAGAAAAAACTTAAAGATTTGTACAGAAGAAAGTAGGCAGTACCAGCTATGAAACAAGGGAAATTATAAAGAGGCCACAAGAAACGTTTATTAGTAAAGTGAGTTAAAGCTGACCAAAATATAGGCAGAATAGCCATATTCCTTCAAAATAAAGGAATAAGTAGGAATCAATAATTGGGCATCTTTCTAGACTCTGTACTTGTATTATCTTCTATTCCTCTTTAACCTTAAAGTCAAAGAAGTTAATTAATTTATCAAAGATCACAAAATGACTATTTAATCCCAGGTCTATATAGCACTGCCAAACTCAAACTTTTCTATTATATCATGCTGCTGCTTAGAAAATATTTCACAAATCCAATGGACACAGACACTAGGGCAGTGGGGGCTTGTCCTGGGGGTTGGAAGCAGCAAAGGGGGGATTAATGGGGTGGTGGGAAAGGAGACATGTAATAATTTAAACAATTAAAAAAAAAGAACTCAGAAAAAAAGTATTTCACATGCATTAGTTCCTCGATGAAATAAATTTTTTGAAAACTGGACTGGCCCAAACGTTTCCCTGCCAGCCAAATTCTTCCTAAAAGTTACAATGATTTTAAGAGTCTAGCAACACACGACTGATCAGATCTTCTGCCTGTCTTTACTATTTTTTCTGGAAAGCACCAATACTGCAGAATAAGTAGTTGGACGTTTACTTAAGACCTGCTCTAAGGCCTCGCATTTAAGAGAAATGGGTAATCTTCCAGGGTGGATAAACAAAGTACTCAGAACTAAAACCCAATCCTGCATATTGGGCTATATTTTTCCTGTAAAATACAGCATCCTACCCATGACAAAAAGAGAAAAGAATAAGAACCTACAAGAGACTATAGGAAATGTTTAGGATTGCCAACTCTGAAATATAAACCCTGGCTTATCTTCCAAAAGACTTCTATAATATCCTGATAAATGATACAGGTCTTCCTAAATCCCTTTGGGAGGTGATTAAAACTGGAACTGCTGGAGTCAGACATACTAAAGTTCAGCTCCTCCAATACAAATCATGACTCTGAGCAAAATAATTAATCTCTCTAAGCCTCAGCTTCCACAGATATGAAATAAAATAGCAGTAAGTTCTATAAATGCTAAGTTACATTGCCGAGATCACAAGTGCTTCTTAAAGGTTAGCTTTTCATCATCAATCTCATCATCTTTGTTATGATTAGAAGAAATCTATGGGGTAACTGAAGGGGTTTCATAAGCCTTCGAGGCCAGTATCAATTTTAGTTTTGGAGAGTCTTGGAAGATTTAAGGAGTAGCAGAGATGGAATTGGCAAAGCCTGAAAAGAATGAAAAAGAAGCAAGCAGAAAACTCACGGGGAGGGAAACTCTGTATAGGTTAAAAAGGTGAATGTATAATATAATATATATGCATTTAGAAAAAAGATTAGAAGTTAAACACTGTTTCATGCAATAAAACAAACTGCTCGTTTTCTATTACCATGATGGGGACGCCAATGTCAGGCCACAGAAGGTCTTCGGATGGTAGTTTGGGAGAATTCCACACCACCACCACCTTGTTCAGGTAAGGGAGGCCGTTCAACCTCTCTAAAGAGTTCATAAGCACTTCCTCCCGCTCATAAGTCAACATCACAACTGTGAACTGCTCCCGCGGGACATTGCCTCCAAGTGCTGCCTGAAACTCCTTGCCAGAACCCCCAGCTCCACCACCAATCGGCCGAAATCCAGTTCCTGAGCCCAAGAATTTGGCCTCTGAGGGTAACACAGGGTCAAAGGGTGTGTGGGGGAAAAGATGGAAAGGCCCTGGAGCAGAGTTCCAGCTGCGGTAAAAGTCAGTGACGGTCAAGGTAAAGTTGCGGAGGTATTTGGGTGAGGCATAAGGCGGCTCAGTTTCTACTGGCCCCAGGTCCAGGTCCCCGTTGTCAGCCATGTTGGGGTCTGTGCCAGCCGCCTTGCCTGAACGATGGGGGATCTCAGCTGCTGCCTCTTCCCGGATGGGAGCAGCTGGGATCTGTATTCGAGTCCTAATCATAGCCAGCACGGTATTGAAAATACTGTCAGCAGTTGAGAAGTACGTCTCCCAGAGGAAGCGGCCTTGCCGCCTCATGGCCAGTAGATCACTATCAGAAAGACTTCGTAACAGGAAGTGAACCTCAGTAACACGTGGCTTGGGCACCACCAGGGCTGCCTCGTTCCACTGCAGCGTGTCATGGTAAGGAAGCTGGACTTGCTCCCCCAGCACAACTGGGACAGCACCAACTTCCAGGGCTTCGAAGAGCCGTGTTGCACATCCGGATGAAATGACCAAGTGAGGGTCCCCAGGAGTGATAATGAGAGCAAAGGTGGAAAGCTTCAGTAACTCTAAGCGGTCCTCCCGCTCCCCACACAGTGCCCACTCAGTAGGCAGACTGGGTTTAGGCTGGTTTTTGCAGGTAAATTCTACTAGGACCTGATCTAGCTTGCTGTCCTGTACAGCTTTTAAAGTGGCAATGATACGATCGTCATAGTCAGCTGGGGGGTCACCTTCCATTTCTTCTTCAAAGGATCGGGCCTCCTGAAGGCTGGATCTTAGTGACTCAATCTTCTCACCCTGGAAGGTGAAGAGATATTTCCGCTTCACTGGCACCTGTGGTGGGATTTCCATGAAGTTGGGCTCTGACATGGCATGGACTAGTGGCGATACTACCAAGTCAAAGCCAGGTCTGTACTGGGCAGCATAGAAAGTAGACTGGGCCACCATGGCACGGCCGGTACTGACATTATACAGTAAGTTTTGTGTATCCGACTTCCGTGATAGATTGATGATGACATGGTTGTGTCCATCTGTCCGCCAATGTGGTAGAGAATACAACTGCTTCTCAAGTTCAGCAGGCCGCAGCACTACTGGCTCCTGCATCTCTCCCACTAATATCACATAGAGGCAGGCAATATCTGCATTTTCTGTAACATAGGTGTTGGCTCGTGCTGTAGCCTGAAAAGCCTGCTTGACCAAGGGATCCATGTAGCTGCCAAAGGCAAACTGGTCACTGTCATAAACATAGACAGGAAAACCAGAGGTGAGAGGGCAGCGAGAATAATCGAAACAATTGTGTAGCCGACAACCCCGGATGACCTTCGGGGGAGGAAGGCCTGCATCATCCTTCTCTGGGAGCAATCGGATGGGCAGAGAAAGTTTGGGCTGATTTTGGGCCATCAGCTCTTTGTAAGAGTGCTCAGTCTGGCTAATGACATTCTTCAGTTGAAGCAGGTCCTGCTTGGCATTCTCAATACTCTTTTTGCAGGCTTCAATCTTTAGGTTCAGCTTGGCAATTTCACTGTTCAGCTCCTGCCGCTTGGCTTCCAGCTGCAACAGCTCCTCACTTACAGACTCACGAATTCGGCAAAGATCCAGCACATGCTTTACCTCGCACAGCTCATTACCAGCCCGCGGGCCAAAAATCCTCTTGCCGGCCTCATCAGCCTCATCCAGAGTGGTGAGATAATAGTGAGCAATGAGGGGGAAGAAAACCAGAATAATGAAGAGGGTAAAACTGAGCCATGTAAGTCGGATACGGTTAGACCACCGTAACATACAGGTTTGACCTCCGTTCCCCACACCCCCATTCCGCAACATGGTATAGCCTGTCATGAGTTCCTTTGTGGCTCTTGCCCCCTCTGATCACGTTGGGTCACTAGCCATCACCATGAGTTTCTGGTAAACAAAACTCAATCTCTTTTTACTCACACACTTCCATAAAAGTTAGTGTGCTCCCTGTACAAGGCACCAAATAAAAAGGAAATTTCATTTTCCTCAGCTGTAGTTGAAATGATCTCTGACTCTATTCCAGCAGATTTTAAGTTCTGGCTGTTGACCAAAGAACATGTCCTTAATCTTTATCAAACGGTAAAAGGTACCACATTGTTGAGATGAAAAGGAGGTTCTTAATGATGAAACCCAGGAAAAATAACCTGGAATCAGATAGACTTTTTCAACAGCCATAGCTCTTGTTCCTTGGTTTGGCTGACCAACAAATATGCATAATTACTGTTCACAATTATAAAGTAGCTGGTTAGGACAGAAATAGATGCCAGCCTATTGTCGATGTCATTGCCAACAATCAGATCTGCAAAAAAAAAAAAAAAAAGAACAGTGTCAGTCTTGAAGAGATTATGTCCAACAACCCTGCATGCCCTCAATATACTTCTAAGAAATCCTTAAATCTTATACATACACACACACACACACACACACACACACACACACACACACTCACACCCTTATTTAACTGGTAAAGAGCAGCATTAGAGCCTATAAAATGATGATCTCATTGATGTTTCTCTTTCCTCCTTCTCTGAAATCAATAAAAATATATTTAAAATAAATAAAATGATGATCAACTACATTCAACAGAGGACCAAGATACTTGCTACATTTTGTTATTCTAGACTTAGAAATCCCCTTTAGTTGAGGAGAAACATCTTAACTAACCATGGTAGCTATGTTCATTCTTAACATGAAAGTCTCCTTTTGAGCTACTTTAAAAAAAAATCTATTAAGAAACTCAGTTTGTTATAATTTGTTATATTTAGAGATGAAAAGAGCTGAACTCCTCTGAGCTTTGCCCAGCAGTAGATGCAGTAATCCTGATACAAAATATATTTCCCAGTTTGCTTCCCTTTTATCATCTGTTAATAGACATCATGTGCTCCTTCTTAAAATATAAATAGTAACTTGGTCTTTTAAAAAGAACACTATACTTAGAAATGAGAGGCATTATTTCTTATCCTTTGGAGACAGATTTGCTCAGACCTTATGCCTCAGCTTTCTAATCTCCCAAAATGGAGATAAGTGTATGGTGATAACAACAATATATTATGTTGCTATGAGAATAAATGATAGAGGATGTGAGGGTACTTCGACCTAATAAATCTTGAAACAACATTCCCAATCCTGCTCTCTTATCAAACTTTACTTTCACAGGCTACCAACGCTCTTCATTTAGTTTCACCTCAAACTCAACCTACCTAGAACTGAATTCATAATGTGCTATGCCAATGAATACTCCCAATTTAATTCATTGATTTCCCTCCAAAAAGTGTTTACCCCATGCTCTTAATATGTCTAAAGTACTGTAAGTATAACTATGGGAGATTCTAAAACGTAAAGAACTCCTTGATCTCATTGAGCTTCCTTTAGCCTAAGAGATAAGACAAACAAATAGCAAGGGTACTACTACAAGGCAGTATAAAATAGTACTTCACAGATAATCACTCTTTATAACTTCTACCTTTGTTCAAGATGTATTAACTATTAAAGGTTTGACAGTCTTCTCTCCCTTTAAATAAAAATTAAAAGTTGATGACAATATTACTAAAAGGCTTGAGTATGTAAAGCAAGAGATAAGGACAACAAAAATATAGATCATGGAAAAGTTAAATTTGAATGATCTAAACTTGGATAATTAACAGCTGATCAAATATCCCAAAGAAATGGAGGTTAATATTTCTAAAGCATTATCCTTTTCATTCCAATGTTAAAATCTTTTTGTTTTCAAAAGAATATTTTCTGCATTTATAAAGAAATCATAGCAAAGAAAGAATGGATTTGAGGAAAAAAGGAAGGCATAATCCAGGCAGTCCAGCTTATTCATTCCTTCCTTACCTTATGTTTAGGATCCTTCTTTTCTCTGACTCATACGACATTATATCTTGGCATATAATTTCTTGATATAGTGAAGTCCCGGGCTTTCGGTCCTGCTAGAAAGTAAAAAAGTGACATGCTATTAGAAAAATATTCAATACTGAAGGTTCTATTAAAGAATATATTTACTGTCCACTATGAAGAGGCTTCCCTTATGTAAATAAGGTAACTATAGAATTTAAGGTCCAAGCAAAGAAGGACACTCTTGTAAGTGAAAAGGGCCAGTAATAATAAACAATCCGTATATATGGTTATCTATTTATATGTTCTAAGAGGCAATAAATCAAAACACTAAAATATAGAAGTATATACCAAAACATTTATAGAGGAAACAATTTATCTGGAATTGGCTTTAAAATAAACAGGATGAGGATGGTAAGAAGTGTTTGGAGATATAGATGAAATAAGATTAGTTGTGAACTGTTGTTGACATTAAAATGAAGAAGATGCATGAGGATGTATTATATACTATACTCTGCTTTTATATGTTTGAATATTAAAAGCTCAAAAATAGATTACAACGGGTCTAAACAAAATATTTTTTAAAAGTCATTTGGAAACTGACTATGCTTAATCTTATAATGCTAGTGCTACCAACTTATATATAAACAGCAGGAAATAAAAACAAATGTTCTAATGGAAACCAATATTTCAACACTGATCAAAAGAATGCATCCCCTTCAGGTTTTTTCTAGGTGACTCTCATCCTTCAGACCTTAACTTTCTTGGCATTCCCATTAAAGTAGCCTTTCTTATGCCCTGACACTATGGAGAGATGTTCCATGGGAAGACCACCGCCTGTCCTCCACGCCACTGGACCTAGTCAAGAATGGAGGTTGCTTTCCACAAACCCCCAAAGAGATTGTCTGATGGGCCCTAACCGGTTTGGCTCAGTGGATAGAGTGTCAGCCTGCGGACTGAAAGGTCCCAGGTTCGATTCCAATCAAGGGCATGTATCTCGGTTGTGGGCACATCCCCAGTAGGGAGTGTGCAGGAGGCAGCTGAATCGATATTTCTAACTCTCTATCCCTCTCCTTTCCTCTCTGTAAAAAAAAATCAATAAAATACACTTTTTTTAAATAGACTGTCTGATGGTAACTGATGTTTATTCTGACATTAATCAGCACCCTTCCCTTGCCTGCTGATATGTGCTAATTCCTGGAATAGGCTGTTGTCCTGACCAGGTCAAGCATGTAAAGTAATTTCTATACCTTGTAGCATTATATAGTAGTACTTGTGCTATTTCCCCCCTGTACTTTATATAAGTCTTTGGCACCTGCCAAGCAGTGCGGGGATCCACTGCATCTTGAAACTGCCCAAGACATGTCTCATATGTAAGTTTCCCTTAATAACTTTTATTAATTATTGAAGTGACCAGCCTCTTTCTTCGGTCTTTCCCTGCCCTCCACTACAGACGTAGATTTTCACTCTCAGGGCTTTGCCCTGGGACTGTGTGTACTAAAAGACACTTTCTGGCATTGATCTATTGATTTTTCTCTATAGTATCTTTTCATTTATTTATTTATTACCTACCTTCCTACCAAAACCTAATCACTGAGAACAGGACCTTGTCTGCTTGGATCAACACTGTGAGTACTCTTTAAATATCTGTTAAATAAATCAATTATATCACTGATCACTTCTTTCTACAAACTCTCAGCTTTTCCCTTTATTTTCCATAAAACTTTCTGGTGTTTCACCTATTTCCTTGACTCATTCCCCCATTGTGTTTTGTTGTACATCATCCTTGCTCTGCTCATGTCTGGCTAACTGCCTACTACAGTTCCATTTATTCATGAATGCATTTATTGATTCTTGTATGTGCCCTGACCGGGGATAGAACCCGAAACATTGACATATTAGGATGATGCTCTAAGCAACTGCGCTACCCAGCCAGGGTTATGTATTTTATATTTTTACTGGCCTATTCTCTCTTTCAACAGCTCTTTCTCCAGTTCGTTTCACCACTCTTTAAATACAGTTATTCTTTCATGGGTTTGTCCTTTGCCCTTTTCTTTCTCTATCTTCACTTACTAGAACTTGCCAATTAGCTTCAATTAGCTCCCCTAAATGGATAATTCTCCAATTTACCTCTCTAGCCTTGACCTCCCTCCTGATAAATCTTTTCCAATGGTGAGCAACAAAGACATCCTTAATATTGCAAAGGCTGCAAAGGTACATATATCTCCTAGGAGTATAAGGTTATAGTAGTGTCTTCTCCCACAAAGAGGGGAAAAAATTTTCAAAATAGTTGTACAGTTAGAAATTTGTAATTCAGATCATGGCTGATGCCCAACTCTTTACTCTTTCCCTAATCAAAAATAATGTTTGCTCATAAATGGAAAGTAGAATTCTTAATCTGCTAACCACTCAAAGGCTTAAAATAAGCATGGTCCTGGAAAGGTAAAATGGCAAGTAATTCAAATGTCCAAGTGGTGAGCTGAGAAGTCAAGTGAGGAAGAGTTGCAATTCAGAAATTCTCCATATACTACATTTTCCCTTCATCTTCTCAACACACCAATGCCCTCTATCATCTTATCTACTTTGCAGAGCCTTCTCTTCTAACATACCTTATCACAATGGCAAACTATTGCAGGACCTTACTTTGAAGAGTCTTTTTTATATATCAACCATCCTACGGACTTTTCTTCTCTTAAAACTAAAATACTCTGATATTGAAATTTCCTATAATGAATTTGAGGTAGCTCTCTATTTAGATGTTAATGCCTTTCAACAAAGGTGTATAACTTTTTTCATACAAAAGCAAAACTAAACTAAACTGAGTTGAACAAAGGTAAAACAAGCCACAGAGGGAAGAAATAAGGGAATTGCTGCTTCCATCTGGTCTGCTGTTATGCATTGCATCTGAAAGATATAAAGGGAAATGGGGCAAAAGAGAAGCTGGACACTTTCCAGATGTTCCCAAATGCAACCAACTCACTTGAATA